CTCTCTCATCGATAATGCGAATCCCCTGCGAACGAATAGCGAGAGCTATGTCAAAGTGCAGCCAACATTGGCGCACGTGATAGCCTCGCAAATCGGACCTAGATTTGGCCAGCTGCACGACCGAGTTTCTCGTTTTGCAGGGAAAAATCGGCAGGAAAACAGCCGATTAGAATGGATGATCGACGTGCGACCGATACCAGAGAGGCGCGCGCTCGAACTTAACCCCGTTTATAACGCTTTCCGCAGCTCTAATCGCTATTATCAGCGCGAAGTCTAAGTCTAAGCAAGACGATTTTTCGCCAACGCGCTGGCCGCCCTAACGATCTCGCGCGTTCCTCGTCTCCTTCTGCGCGTGTCCGTGTTTTCATCTCTTCGACAAACAGCAAAGAGACGCCGTTAAGGCGTCGCGTTAAAACTTAACGGCCTGCTTTATGCTGCATTTATGCGTGCGTCTTTTGATCCGCTATTAATGACAACAAAGCTGATGTACGGGACGTTACGCAGGATGATTTAGTATTGTCGTTCAACTTCATGCACACAAATAACTAATTTTTCAAACAGACCTCGTTCGTGGAAATATTATTCTCTTTCTTTAGTTAGAAGAGAACTGATTCTTGCCAGATGGACTTTTTGTTTGAGCTGTTTGAGGTGAATGATATCTTTTTTAAATCGAAATCACTCATTTCGAAACGAACGAGCCGACGTACTCACACATAACATTCTCCAACTCTTTCCTGAATTATGTTATAGTCATGTCATAAATATTCAGTATTCTTAAAATCGCCTGTAAAAATAAACATGCACAATACGCTTATCGTTCTCTGATTTTCGCAGAAAACATGAAGATTGATGAGATGCTACATCGCGGCCGATAAAGCGCGAACCAGAAGCTCCGGGATTCTATATTGTTGTTATATTGTTGCATATCTCATTGTTAATAATAGACGACCGATGTCTGGCCCGTAACGCGCTTATTTTCCACTGCGATTACTTATCGAATTGTTTCTCTTTCGGTTGTGGCGCCGGTCGGGAAAAGTTTTTATTCTACCCTCAGCATAATAATCGCGGCAAGCCAATTGGTGATGTAAAGCCACAAGCAATTCTTGTTTGATTAATTAATGTTTTTCCTGAGTTTCTTAATTAAGTGTTGCTTACATGTCGCGTCTGGATGTATTCGATTTCCACAGAGTGTTGTAAACATTTCCGCATTTCCCTGCATTTCACTGCATAAATTTTAATCAAATCCAGATTCGTGCGCTACAAATTATGGTAAAGTTTCAGCAATAATAAGCAGCCTGTTGAAGAAAGGATAATCTAGGCATTCTCATATATTTACTTTTCAAATTCCGCAAATTATTAATAAATTACAAATAAAAAAAAAAAAAAAAAAAAAACTAAAAACTAAAGGATATTTTCAATTGGTTTGAGGATTGAAAAAACGTTTTATTTTTTGATTCTCTTTAGAATATTTTGAGATCTACAAAGCACGTCAAAAATGATTAGATAATGAATAAAATGAGTAAATAAAATAGTTGATGGTTTCTTTGCTGGTACCATTATGTCTGTCGACTCGTTTGATTTATATATTGATAATTTTTTTCTAAAAATAACTATGCGTATCCACGTATAAGTTCCTAGAACAAAGTGTACTCAAGATATATCTTGTCTCTGACAATTATGCAATGCACAATCATGCGACAATTACATGAAATAAAAACCGCCGATCTCTCTTTCGAAGATCGCGTCAAGCTCTTGTGCAATCAATTGAAAACCACGATAATAAGGCATTTCAGATTATTAATTATATTTTAGGAGGTAATGAAATTATACAGCGGATGTAATGATTTGCCCGCAGTGTGGTATGCGATAAGATGATCACGAAGCTGGCGAGTGTCGCGATAATTGCGGCTTAACGTTGCCAGGAATATTGCAGAATTCTGTAATCGCACGTTATATTTGGATTGCCGCTTAAGCTATAAATATTTGAATCATTTCGTGAAAGTTTTATCAAATTTATCGCTTATCATATTTTTATTATTTCAATTGCGTGTTTCTAAATCCTTACATCTCATCAAAGATATGACGACATTAATGTTTATCAATATGAGAAATTGAAAAACTGACGATACATTAATTAAATTTAGAGATATATTCAAGTTGTTATTCTTATGTATTTTATACATACATACGCGCGAGAATTAATTAATCAATGATATAAATATCCAAAAGAAAGTTTCTAGTTCAATAAAATAAAAATCATCACTGTTATATTTATACTGACATATGTTTACAAGATTTGTGAAGTATTGTATCATTCGCGTGACTTGTGTTATCCAAGTTTTTGTAAAGTTACATATTTTTATACAATACATTTTTATTATTAATAATTTTTACGTCTACTATTTTGGTAAAGTTATCAAATTTTTGTAGAGTTCATCATCGCGCTCGCGAATCGATTACGTTCTGGAACCGTCTACGGGGCTGGCTAAAACGGTAGCCGGACGGGGTCTAACAATCATTCGCACACGAGCGAGAAATGACCACTTGAGTTAGTTTTCCACGAGTTTTCTAAAGTGGAACCGCGCACCTACTGCGCCATGTGCAGGCGGTTCACTTAGGCTCAATAGACCGGTTAAGTGGCCGCTATTACAACCGGCGCGCACTTGGAAATCACGTGTGCGTACTCCTTGTTAGCGCGAGTGCATCGCCACCGCTTAGCTGCAGCAGCAGCACGTGGCGCGCGTGTCCTTGGCGGTCGCATGCGCGCCGACGGCATCCTTCGCGTTCCGCATTGCACGCGAAGAAACGTGCGTTTCGGGAGGATTCTGCTTGCCGCGCGCGCGAGAAAGAGAGCCCGATGCGATTCGATGTACCGCGTCTTCCGTGGAACACGCGCGACGGTGGATCGTGTGGATCGCCGGCGCTCCGCGCCGATCGCGCGAGACGCGTTTACCGTATACGTACGTGACAGAAAATGTAAAACTATCCGGGCTGCAGTTTCGCAACCGCAGAGACCATTCGCAATTGCGTCTATAGATAGATCGGACGGTGAGCTGCGCGTCCCTATCCACCTGAAAGTCATCGTGTTCCAGCGATTGTAACACCGGATCCGATCGTTAAGCGAGTCGTTGACTCTGTTCTCGGCCGCAGAGTTAATCTATCAATGTCTCTCAACGTCAGCGACTTCGACCGCCGTATCCTCTTGACACTTTTGTTGATTTGTCGCCACCTTGTTCAAAGTCCCTGTGCGCCACGGTGTCCTCTATTTACGCGAAGCCGGCTCGATTTCGCTCGAATAACATGCACATGTGGGATGCGACAATTTTTCCACGCGAGATTCCGCAAAATATAGCATTGTGAAACGCATCCGTGTTTACGAAACAAAATCCGCTGATGCAGAGGTGTTGTTTATGCAGCTATCGGATGGACCTACGAGTAATAGCAGCGGAGAGATATCGCGACGAGGGATATCCGTATACGCTGAAAGATATCAAAATTGCTAAGATCGGTGGAAAGGAAACGAGGGTAGGAGGTCGCGAGGAGTGTCTATCTGCGCAAAAATGCGACCGACATGCCCGGAGACTGAGACAAAACAGGCGCGGGCGGTCAATTGGAGCTGGCTGATAATGGATCACCCCTTTGTCTTTGCGACCGATCGGAATCAAAGATCACTTGGCTTGATCCTTCCGTGTTGTTGTCGACTGGATACCGAGATACCGGCCGGTCGCGTCTCAGCCGCACAGCTCCCCCGTCGCTCTTTGATAAATTATTGAGAGATAGCGCCGGGATAATCATTTTCATTGACGCTAAACCGCATAACACAATGCTCACTTCACTCTCGCTCAAAACACGCGTCTTGTGCCGTACACGTGATCGATAGCGGCTAAAAACGGCAGTTAGTAATACGAAGCTGTCTCTAATGCAATGTCCGCTGGCGAAACGCGATCTATTTTCGTTATATTTGATCCCGCTAGTGCAGTTTGTTGATCAATAGCGATTTTATTGATTTTGTTTTTGCATATGCGAAGAGCGTGAGTTGCGAGTTTCTGCCGCGAAAATTATCAATTAATACGATTGTGAAAAACATTAATTGGTGACATCGAACATTTCATTTAATTAATAAAATTATTTATTCCAACGCGTATATTTATTTATGCAATTGAATAATTATCTTTGAATCGAAGTATTATTAAGTTAATAAGATTATTAAAACATTCAAGTAAATAATTAATAAGAATATTCACAAATATATATATTTATTCCATTTGGAATAACTATGCGGAGCACAAAGAAGCAACGAATGTCATCCATCGCCAATGACTTCAAAGTAAACTCGCACTAATGTGTAATTTCCTCTATTTATTCCGATTCTTTGAACCGCTATATCGGTTAGTGGAGCATTAGTAAGAACCGCAAAGAACAATAATGTAATAAGGTGTCGCAAGGCTAAGAACTCTAGCCTTGGCACGGGGGAGGCCGTGACTTCGCCACGGGGGATGTTCGAATCGGGGATGTTCGAATCGGGGATGTTCGAATCGGGGATGCTCGCATCCTTGACAAACAGATCGCTTTGTTCGCATTCTTCGTTGTCTCGTGATACAAAAACACGGCGGACAAAACCCTCGTGCGCGTACCAATGAGTACCGGCGGCAACAAATCTGTCTCTTCGAGCCAATGCCGGACGATCGCTCGGCGACACCGAAAGAGGTGTACAAAGTTTCGGGACGACAAAAGAATAACATCACTTTGGAGGTGCGCGTGCACTTATCGGAAACGCTCCAAGTGCTCGGTGCGGCGATTTCTAAAGTGTGAAAGAACTGGCGCCTTTCATCCCGTACGCGTCTTCCCGAGTAATCTCATTTCTCTGCTTTCGGCGACCCGGAGAAAAAGAGAGAGAGCGAGAGACAGAGAGAAAAAGAAAGAGAGAGAGAGAGAGATGCGCCTCCTCGGTGGCGCAAAGAAGCGAATTCGAGTGGCATTCGGACGCGCGTCTGGTCGCCTAACGACCCCTCCACCGGCGTGTCGCCGGCTCTACGTCTGATCGAGAAGTCCATTCGTCTACTACCGAGCTCCTATTTCTCCTCCTCCTTTGCATTCTCTCTTCCTCCTACCTCTTCCACTCGCTTCTCCCTCCTTATCGCACTTCTCTCCCCCGGGGTCCCTGAAATCTGGAACAAGAACCGCGTGGCGAGGCGGCCCGGTACCAGTGGCACCGACGAACTCGGTACCAGCGGAGGTCTCTTGGAAGGAACCTCGCAGCATCACCCGCGCCGACGATCTCCGATCGGCGAATGCGCCTACGGCGGATCCTCAGGTATCGGGAGACTTCGAGAGGAAGACGTACACGCCGCGAGCTTCCTGGCCGCTTCCGCCACGACTGTGATCGCCCGGGTGTCGAGCAGACACGAGATCAGAATGACAGCACGCGGGAATTGTGCGACGAGAAGAGCGCTCTCGATGCTCCTGATCGCGACGATTCTCCTGGTCGCCCTGTGCGCCGCGTCCGCCCAAAATTTCAAGAAGTCGCACATCAGGATGCAGAAACTGTGCTCCAGACACCTGAGCGACGCACTGTACATAGTGTGCCGGGGTCGCGGTTACAATGGGCCGTTCCCGAATAGCGACGAGGACGAGACGGAGGTCGACCCGACCGGGCCCGGCCTCGTCGAAGAGTGTTGTTATCACCGGTGCACCTACGAGACGCTCGAGCGATATTGCAGACCTCTGCCCAAGGACAAGCAAGTCGATCCCGGGGAGGCCATCATGTGAGTGGATGTTAGTGCACTCTTTTATTTTTTCTTTTTTTGTTCGCCCACCTTTTTCTTCCCGCCCGCGCGTTTTCACGCGAATGACTTTTTACTTGTCTCACGATTTACTTATTCGAATTTTTGAGCGAGCTCCAACGTCTGTTTTTCTTCTTGTCATCTTCTTATCATTCATCCTGTTTTTGTACGCTTGATTCTGTCTCGTTATTCCTCGTACTTTGTCATCTTTTATCTGCTTTTCTTTTTTTGTGTTCTTTTTAATTATAAGCTAATCTTGCTGTGTAATTTAATCAAAATGTGCGGTTTTTATATAGACGTGATTTCACACATGGTTTGCGTTGATTCACACGAAACACACATTTATATAAGAAGGTCGTAATACGTAAATCGAACAGCACAAACGGAAATAAATGCAAAATATTGACATCGACTGTTAACAGTTTCGATATTCAAACGATAAATTCTCGTTCCGCGTAATCGCAAAATACATATTACTAGACACAATTGTCGCAGATTTATTTCTAGTTTGCAGCGCGGCGAGAAGGGGAGCGAATAAATACGCTTAATCGGGTATGAGTAGATTACGCGCGTAACAATTGCTTATTATGCAATTATTTATATTCGCGCTGAATCACGAATTTGTCCCGCGCTGTCAGCTGATTAGTAGGTGGTCTGTCTTGAGAGTCATTAGAGAATCAAATGTAAGATCGCGTCGGTGCACTTTCGCGAGAGTGAGAGGAAGCGAAAAACCGGAACCGGAGGAAGAGAGAAAGAAAGAAAGAGAGCGAGGCCGCGTTATCATCGCCTCGCGTGATAATCTCTCTCTGCTGCTCCTAAAGTTCACGGTTGTGTATAAAGTGGCCTCAGAGGGAAGGTTAGTCCGAAGTACTAGGACGATTTCGCTATCGTATGTTACGCTCTTTCCTTCCCCCCCCCCTGATTCTTCTTTTGCTCTTTCGCGCGGATTTATCGAATTATAAGCGACTTGTTTTTTCGCCAAAAAAATCTTAATTGAGTCTTCTTACACAAGTGTTTACGCTTTATGCGCGTTTTTTATGAGCGCATCGTGCAAACCTGCGCTTTCGTCTCTCGCGTATCAAACATGTTTATTAGCGTATTTTTATCGTCGCCAAAATATACTTGATAATCCCCTTTCGATAATCCCCGATTTATGCGTTCAACTTTGTTTAGGGTCGATGATCTAACGCGAGTTTCGAAGACGAATAGTACGGGATCATAGCGACAACTTGGAAAGTGCGCTTGATATATAATTCGAGATTAAACGGAGAGAGTTGAATCGTTTAATAATGTTGCGCGCTGAAATGTTCATCGAAAATAACACCGTTGTATAAAACTGTTTCCTTAAGTTCCCTTTTTGTCTTCTTTCAGAGAGGAGTCATTCATACTGAAACTGCCTTATTCTGTTTCTACGACAAAAGAACTGTCGGCGGAGCAAAGATCGCAAACGGAAGCGGACAACGCCGACGATGCGATAAAACGTAAGGTCGATGATTTGAAAGAGGGACATCACAAGGGGAAAGGTGATCGCAATGTTGATGGTGTATGCAAAGGGAAGGCTGACGCGAAAAAGCGACATTGCGGCAGGCACTGCAGATGCCGGCGTCGGCGTCCGAAGTGTCGCCGAGCTGGCAAGGTGCTTTCACAAAACGTCATTGCTTATTAACACTTGTTAATGTCCCCCTACTTTCTTGCCTCTTCGTTAACACGTTTGTCCATTAATGTTTTCATTCATCGATGTTGCTGCGTAATTTAATTCTAACCAATGCATTCTCATTACTTGCATGCACATTCGCGCCGCAATGTAAAACACAGGTGTCCAATGGATGTTCGCACATAACACGTTTGTCTGTTAACGTTTTTATTCATCGATGTTGCTGCGCAATTTAATTCTAACCAATGCATTCTCATTATTTGCATGCACATTCGCCCCCGCAACGTAAAATACAGGTGTCCAATGGATGTTTGCACATAATAATCGTGCAACATTTGCTACTTTTGAGAAGCTAAAATATTCAAATGCTTGAGAAAAAAGTTAGATTTTGCTATGGTTTTTTGATTGTTTTGTTACGGCTTTATGTTATTTGTCATGGTTTTACATTATTGCGATGTTGTCGTCTTGCAATTGGGGAAAAGCTTGACTTTGCTTCAAATTTAATCATCTTTATTTATTCATCTTTTTGTTATTTCAGGTTTATGTAAATATCTCTAGTATTCTCTCTTCAAAGTTGTAAACACATGACTTGATATGACGTGTTCTTGTTTACGGCGCCGCGCACTGCTTTCTCTCCCCCTCTCTTTTTATTATGCTTCAATCACATGAAACTTACACATAACTTACGTTTTACGTCTGAAAATAATTACAAGATAGATACTATCGCGTATTTTCTTTTTTTCCTATATTTAGTATATTTTGCATGATGTTGGCTGCTGGCTATCGCATTGAAACTGCAGTGCGGCTTGAGATAATCACCGATTTCCCCCGCATGTAAAAATATATACCGACTAAATAATTTTTAATATTAACGATAAATCTCAAACGTTTCGTAATGTATGTGTCTCCTTGTGTTTATAGATTTTACGCGGCAACATTAAACCTTGCGCTGTGTAACAAATTCGTGACATTATCGTGACAGCGAGCCTACGTCGCTTGTACTGTCGTAATGCAACATTGCGGTGCTGGAACAACACGATCAATCATCGATTATCCGGACGATGAGATGGGAATTAGAAGAACTCTTTGAAAGTTTGAGAAACAATAAAAGAATTCCTTTTTCTCTCAAATGCCATTCTTATATCATCTATCGATCGCATCGCCGAAATAACGGATGAGATTTGCACGCGGATAACTGCTCGTAAAAGAGAATTCAGGACGGATATTTCAGGATGATTGACTTCCACAATGAGGAAAAGGATCGATTAATCAATTCGAAGTAATTCACGTGGGAGAAAGATTAATTATGGAAAATTTCTCATCTTTCACGTGCGTCCACGCGTTAATTGATTGTATGAAAGCAGCAATGACGCAGCGAAAGACGTTGTTCATTAAAATTGCAATTTCGGACTAGGAAAAGTTCACGATTGAAAAAGCAAGGAAGATCATTTTGTGTTTGGGTGACGATATCGGCGCAACTTTCCCAATGACGCTTTCTTTCAATGTCAAGAATAATGTCATTAAAGAAAAAGTGAAGATTCGATTGCGACTTGTGCTCATAGTCGCGGACTATACCGAATGCAATGAACTTAAATTAGAAAGTAATTCGATTAATCGAGTCATGATCTCGAAAAAAAAAGACCTAAACAAGTGATTAGTTTAATATAAGCGTTCTTTAGGGGCGAAGAATAGTTTGATTCGAATATTCGCCAGTGATCCTAGTTTTATTATCGACTGATCTCATTAGTATTAAAATTTTTGTTGTAAATCTAAGATCTAAGCTAGAAGTAAAACATATCGACGAACGCATACTTCACTGGCACACTGATCAACTGTTATGTGGACGGGATGCGGAATCATAATTTTTAATAAAAATGTAGACTCATAATTCACGCACATAGATAGAGATTCGTATCGCGCAGCGTATAGCGTCATTACACATTTGAGTTTGACTGGTTATGCGAAAATTCCAGTTGACATCTGCATTAACAATAGCGATCAATAAATGTTTATACGAATTAATCAATGTATTATTTATTATGTGAAATACCTGATTTCGTACAAAAATAAGAAAATATTACTCAATAATTGATAAATAAATATAATATATAAAATAAAATAGTAATAAAAAAAATTATAAATAAAAAAATAATATCGCATTTATAATCTTTATTTATGCTTCTTCAAGCAACGTCAATTTTGAGTCGTTCCTAATTTTCAAAAATTTGACTTATATCAGACACGGTATGAACGTTGTTTCCTTCAGACATCTGTCGACATTTTGGCAGCACTTTGATGCTGTCTCTACGAAAGCCTTCCAAGCTTCTTCTTTCGAACCTCTCGGTTGCCTTTTGTAGATATCATTGTATAGTTCATCTAGTTCTTCGTCGTCAAGATCAAAACCGAGATCGTTGTTATTATCCTGCTGAACATTGCGCTGATCTGATTTTTTATCACTTTTGTTCTACTTAATTTGTTATCTACTTTTTGCCCCAATCCAACCTGTCCCTTCGCAAACTGATTAATCATCTACTAAACATATCTTTTTCTTAGCGCTATGTTAGTTACGTTATGATATTGTTAAAACTATTTCAACTAATTCTGGATTTTTCGAAATTGATTCAATCTACTCATCTATTTTGATTTACTGTGAGATGGGATGTAGTGTATTGTTGGAGCAAGTTGCGTACACAATTTGCAATTACACACACATATGCACACATGTTAATCACGCAGGTAGTGCAGTTAGAATATTTTTATTATTTACAGTTATCATTTCGTCACCAAATTTATTATATCCGTTATATTATTAATTTTTTACACAAGCGAGAGAATCATGCGCGAAGCTCTTTACGCCAAAATATTTACGTCTTTTAACCACGTAAAGACTTTTGGTGTTGGTTGTGGTGTAGGGTCTTGATTGATTAAAAATCGTTTTCCAATCACCAGAGGGGTTTTCAACTTTCTTACCAGATGTAAGGTTCTCAGTCCCTGGCCGAGGAAATAAAGTACCGGGGGAAGACTTGACCAAGTGGAAAGAGGTCCCAGATCGCTCGGATCGAAGCTGTCGTACAATCCTGTCCCGAATGGGACTTTAGGTTGGGTAGCGCTGCCCATAACACGCATCATCGGCTGGACGAAATCGCTCGCGACATCTCCCAGTATCTGCCTCTTCTGTGGGGTGCCGCGAGACGGCCAGTCATTCACCTCAGAAGAATCTGCAAGAAAGCGGAATTGCACTTGCCAATCGCTCGCTCAAATCGAGATGCGATCAACGCTTTGATTCTAACGAAAGTTTAATCGCGCGAGGTCACAAAGCGCCACAGAAGCCACCAAGTTATAGAAAAAAATGTTAGATCACAGTGTAATAATTTATATGCCGTAATATTTTCGACATTGTTTTCTCAAATAGCTTAAATCGCGATTTCTCAATAGTTCCAATTTGTAATCAATAATTTTATAATTAACTACTTTCCATTTTATCGCGAAACATGCTATAATTTTGTACATAGTTTAAAATTTGAAACAAACTTTACTCCTTTATTTAGTCTGATAAATTTTTTATATTTTTTAATAAATATTTCTAACACTAATAAACATTTATTTTATATTTTGTTTTATCGAGTAGCGCAAGAAATATCTGATGTTATAATTTTTATATTTTACAAAATTTCCACTTATAAAAATGTACTTTTAACAAAAAAAAATAGATATATATTATTCAAATTATAGTTGATGTTTTTGCTCTTACCAGGACCTTCCTGTTTTTTTGACTTCTTATCATATTTCAATGTATCATCGTGCTTTAGATCAAATCTCTCCAAGCCTCTCTTGATTCTACCAGCACCGAGTCTACATCTCTTCATGTGCACATCCATCACGGCCGTCTTGCACTGTGTACTAGCCCAGGAAATTCGACACGTAATCGCCACTATCGCCAGAATCAAAGTGATTCGATACACTCTGATGTGATGAAGATACATCTTTCAATTACAGTTTGCGAACGTTTGTCGTGAGTTCAATTACGTTTCGATCAGGTGTCTCTTGCACGACTCAAGACTGAATCGAAGCTCATCGCGCTTTTAACAATGAGGTTATCCAATTGTACGTGACAAAAACACATTGCAATCGTATCGACACATTTTATTTGCTTATTGCACGTGTGTTTCCGCATATACATTGTTGTTGAGTCATTAATTAAATTCTCGCAAAGTAGCTATGATAGAAAAGCGAAAAAATTAGACGGCTAAACACGAAAAAGCATCACAATATATATTTGTTTGT